GGGGCTATGACTAAGTCAGGGGAGGTCACTGCCCATTGGAACACTGCATATCAGTAAGACAGTGGGGAGGGGACACTGTGAGACAGACAAAAATCAGATGATTTCAGATAGTCAAAATATTAGTTAAGTAAAGGAAAACGGCCACATGAAAAAAAGGCTGGGTGGAATAAGAATCGATTATTTTAGAAGAGGTGACTGTTTATGGAGGGTGAGATATTTAAACAGAGATCTGGATAATGAGAAAAAAAAAAAACCACTATTGCCAAAATTAAGTTTCCTTCATGAATGCTCTTCCTTTATTTTTGCCACATATATATGGGAAAAGTGTGCTTTCTGCATGTAATTGCAGTTTAACCCATTACTAAGTTGATCATAGGTCCCCGTTTACCTGGGAGAGTTCCAGGTTTTCCTGTTGTACCTGTGTAATTATTAACAGCACTCCTTTTCACTTTTAGAGTGTCCAGGTTTGGATGATATATTATATGGTGACTCTACGTTTTTGTTGAAACTAAATTATAAAGTCTGATATATTTGGATAAAAATAAAGAATTGCTTTTCTTCTCCTTTTGCTGATTTTTTTTGACACTGATCATTTCAAACAAAATCATCTCAGCTTCATATATTTTAGCCTGGAGGACTTCTGATCAAAGTGATTTTGTGCAACGTTTGCTCAATCTGTACATGACATGTTTTCTCAGCAGTGAAAAGTTATGCATTTTATTGACTGAATAAAAAATAAAACTCTGATAGATCCATTTCAGGAAGTTGTAAAAGCTCAAATCAAAGAGAATTAAAGTCAACTTAAGCCAAGATAATTTTCAGACCACCAGTATGGTGACTAGTGGAAAGCAAAATGTAACATGTTCTTTGAACTGAATAACTATTTAACAACTGCAAACAAATCTGTTCTTATAGGGTTTTCATGGTATAGCTCCTGTCATGAGAAAATACTTCATTCAGTTTGTCAAAATGATACAAATGAAAGAAATACAATTTTTTNATCAGACTAGCATGATATAAATATCCAAGCAACATATTAAATAAATAGCAAAATTTGACATTTTATATCCAGCATCCAGTTTCAGAGATTCTTATAGCAGGAATATAGCTTGAAACACCACATGGCCCAGATTACTGACTTTAGCAAATGGATTTCTAAAACTTGAGCAAAAGTTCATTCTGGCCTTTAATGTCCAGAAGAATGGGACTACCACAGTTAGCTCCCATTCTCCAATGTAGAAATATCTCTAACTTTTATTCATTTAGCAAATACTCGGGATAGTTATCTTTGCTCTAATTTATTGAGAGCAAACTATTTGTAGACATTATACAACACCTTTTAAACTTCTGTATATGTTATTTTATTTCATGCTCACAGCAGTCCTGTGGGACAGGTGTTATTTTCCATGCTTTACTCAACAGAATAGGAAAATGATACACAGTTAAGTATCTTAAGTTTACACAGTGGTAATGTTTGAATTCAAAGCCAGGTTTGTTTCATACATAACATTGCTTCTTGAATGATGGAAAACTACTGAGGGTGCCAAAAAAATGTATACACATTTTAAGAAAGGAAAAAACTTAAAATTGTTATACTCAATATATACCAATAACAAAAGATGAGTACAAGTCACATTTGATTTCTGCAATTACAAGAGGTACTCAAAGTGGTTACCATCAGCATCCAGACACTTCTAATTACAGCGAACTACTGTTTGAGCAACGTTGATCAAAGTGTCTACTTGTATACATTTTTTGGCACCCTCTGTATTGTATGATTTCTGACTCCTTATAGAGACACATATGTAAAAATTTTTCTGTGCCCTTTTATTTTGGTTTATGGATAATAAACAATTAATTATGGTTTGATGGATTACCCTCTATACATTAAAGTAACTGTGCCCTGTGTTTGTTGGAAGAAAGTATGTATCTCTAAGTTATCATCTTATATTAAAACTTTTAGCATATTTTATTACTTAGCCTACTCAGATCAACACTCCAAACCTTATAAGAAAGCAAGGTAAATTCTTTAGTTCAAACTGGCTTTACTTGTGCTGCCATGATGCATAATTTATCAAGGATTTTCTTTTTGCTTATAGGGATGACTTGTCAAGCTCGAACATCATACACTGAAGATGAAGTTCTATGGGGTCATCGCTTTTTTCCTGTAATTTCCTTAGAAGAAGGATTCTTTAAAGTTGATTACTCCCAGTTCCATGCAACATTTGAAGTCCCCACCCCACCTTACAGTGTGAAAGAACAGGAGGAAATGCTTCTTATGTCATCCCCTTTAATAGCACCAGCCATAACTAACAGCAAAGAAAGACATAATTCCGTGGAATGCTTAGATGGATTAGATGACATTAGCACAAAACTTCCATCTAAGCTGCAGAAAATTACTGGAAGAGAAGACTTTCCCAAAAAACTCTTGAGGATGAGTTCTACAACTTCAGAAAAAGCCTACAGCTTGGGAGATTTGCCCATGAAACTTCAACGAATAAGTTCAGTTCCTGGCAACTCAGAAGAAAAACTGGTATCTAAAACCACCAAGATGCTGTCTGATCCCATGAGCCAGTCAGTGGCTGATTTGCCACCAAAGCTTCAAAAGATGTCTGGGGGAGCAACCAGGATGGAAGGGAATCTTCCGGCCAAATTAAGAAAAATGAACTCTGACCGATTCACATAACAAAACACCCCCTTAGGCATTATTTACTGTTTTGATTTAGTAATAATCCAATATTTGGCTGATGAGGTAATCCTCTCTAAGGAATCTGAAAGGTACATTTTCCCCCCAGTCATATATGCACATTTGAGAACACTTACTTCCAAGTATTGCTAATGTGCAGAAAGCAAAATTTATGAAGGGAGGACATCATAAGGAAGTTCTTATTAACGGGCATGTATTATCACATCGTGCATGCAATAATGTGCAAATTTTGCATTTAGTTTTATGGCATGATTTATATATGGTATATTTATATTGTATATTCTAAAAAAANTGCAGGTCTTTTTAATACATCCAATTTTTCACACTTAGTCTTTCCAGCTGTTACAGATACTTAGGTGGACAATGTTGAGAAACTCTAAATGTTGAGAATATGAGTAATGTTTCTTTTCCTATATTTTAAAATCTTTTGAATGTGCAATTGACCATGTCCCAAAACAGAATTGCTAGTGGTTTTTAAATTTAATTTTCTGTATTTCTAATATGGGACAAATGACTAATATGTCTAAACTTCCCATATTAACATCGACTAATTTACAGGAAGAACAGGAAATGCAAGTGATCATTACAGAACGATCAAAACAGCAGACGTTATTGGGCATTGTTTAAATACCAAGCACCATTCTGTGCACTTAACATCAAATTTTCAACAGCTTTGTAAAAGAGGGTATTGCTAGCTCTACTTTGTAGAAGAGAAAACCGAGGCTCAGAGAGCTTTAGGTAATATTCACAAGCTAGTCAGTAGTGGAATTGCCAGCCAAATTCATCTACTTTTCAATTACATAAAGATGGATGTTGGCTCACTGGTATTAGTTTGCTATGGAAGGAAGTAAAGGTAATTTCAAATAATATTTAGAATAAAATCCCACCTTACTTTTCAATCACAATTATCCACTGGTATTTTAGTAACAATGCCTACAGATATTTTTATGTGAGCAAATATTTGAAAAAACCAGTTTCCATTGTAGATGTCATTGTTCATTAAGAATCACGACAAATGATTACCTGTTTCCCCAAAGTGAAATTTTTATAAGATTTTATTTCCCTCAGTTTTCCCCTCCATCTAAGTTTCTCTAGGTATTTTCCATAGTTTCTGATAATCACATAGGAAATAACTCATGTTAGGCATTGTAGATTAGTGATGTGGTATCATGGGGACAGAATTATGATTTTTAATTTCCTCTCTCTCTTAATGTAAATAAAAAGCCTCTAAAATAAAATGGGCTATGGTGGCAATAGTAATCACATTTTGTTTCAGTGTGTATTGTTGTTAGAAATGATTAAACAAAGTTCATGATCTGAATTTACTTCAACTCTTAATATATACTCACATTTATAGTGATCAAAGAAAAAACCTACAAACCTGTTACAAAGGTAAACACTGAGTTTACAGTGACTGTGTGCCTCACCTCCGATAATTCTACCCACCTTCAATTTTCAGTGGAGTAATATTTTTTTTAATTAAAATGGGGTTGTAAAGGAAGTATCATTACTTAACAGTAAGTATATAGTTATGATTTTTTTCTTAAATTTAAGTTAATATCCTGGACTGGAAAGATACATAAAGAACTCATGAGAGTGATTGCTTTTGAAGAGAAATCAAAGGATACTTCTTTAATTAACAAATAAAGAATACTTATNATTTCCCTTTGAAAAATATGTTTCCTGATGTCAGTCTTATAATACAGGGTATTCCCCAACAGTAATTCGGTTACATTATACTTATACCATTGGAAGTAAAAATAATATCTTAACAGGAGAAAACAATAGCATGAATGGATTTAGGTAGCTAATTGTTTTGATTCTATAATTGTCAATGCAAGGAAACATGTTTCAATGGCTACCATGAAGGAACAAAGAAAGTGATGTGCTAAAAATGGCTCATTTTCAATGTTAGGTTAAGGTAATGATAATCAGTTGACAGTGTACTGGACAAATTCTGTCATGCTTTTATATGAAGTGAGAGTGGAAAGCTGAAGGTAATGAGGTTCTTGTCAACACAGCTGAGGTTAATTGTATTTTAGGGGAAGCAGTTGCTACTGTAAAGTTAGTCACACTGTACAGGGCAGCTCAGGTTAACAAAGCTAGTCTTGATTCAGTTCATAATGTGTGTAATAGGCATTTCCTCATGTTCCAGATAAGTACAAACTCATGGTCTATATCAAATTAATAGAACTTAACAAGGTGAAAATTATTTCATTTGCCTTAAGTTGATTGTGAGAAATGAGGTGATCAATAAAGAATTGAAATATATCTAAGATGACCTTTTAACTAATTGGAACCCCAATAGTATGACTGATAATAGCTATCAGTTATTAAACCATTATTATTCACCAGGCAATATGGTAAACCCATTAAATAGATAATATAATTTTTAACTGTAATAACTGTGTAAATTGTATATTATTATCCCTTATTACCATCCATATTTTACAGCAGTCTAGGTTCATATAATTTAAATAATATTCCCAAGGTCTTACTAATAATTTATGGTTAAAATAGCAACAATCTCAAGTTTATATTCAAAGCCCATGCTGTTTTGCTTAATATTACCCTTGAGTCTCTTAAATATAATGTTAGCAGTGTGATCAAGAGTCCTCTGTCATATTTTCTATCTGCCATTGACCCTTACCATATGTACTTATGTGCTTTTGGGGAGTCTAACATTTTGTTCTCATGGTCAAGGTTACAAATCTATTTTCCTTTTTTTTGTTCTTCTGGGAACATAGAAACCTAAAATATTCCATTTGAAGTCTTTGTTGCTAAATGCCTTATTGCCACTTTATTTTCTATAAAATATAATTGAGTTTTTCTTCTTTTTTCTCTTTTGAGAATTCTTTGACCTAGCTTAAGCAATAATGGCACACTGATATATGTATGAGAACACATTGTAAGACCAAGTGCTTTAAATAGTAGAAGATAATANAACTTCCTGGCGCCTCTCACAATTAATTCAATAAGATCAAGTTCCTGCAGCTTCTGGTCTAGGGGAGTTCAAAGAAAATGGTCCTTATCATTCAGTAGAATGTTTGTTTCTAAATTTTGATTTTCTTACCTGGAAATGTGTCTTGAAATCATGTCTGTTTCTGAATATTTGGGCTGTGTATGAGCAATGGGTGCTATAGATCATACATATGGTAGGGCCAATTATTTCCTCCTTGCTTACTAAGAATACATCCATAACTCCTGCTTATCCTTTCCCACCTACTAATGTCAATCATTCTCATAATGATTTACACACATTATGTGAATCTTCACAATAAACCCTACATGGTAGAGATTATCTTCATGTATACTAGGAAAAAAAAGTTCTCAGAAAAGTTGTTTGCTCTGCTTTTAATTAAGTTAAATCCACAAACATGAGTAGTCTCTGCCCTCTTGGGCAGTTCTCTTGTTATTTACATGCAAATCCCTAACTATTCTTAAATTGCTTCTTTTTTTTGATTTTCCATTTGGGGGCATTATTTATTCGCTTTTAACTGAGGTAGATGAAGATTTAGTTTTATTTCAAGTCTTGCTACCCAGTATCCCTCCATCACATCCACCCTACCCTTAATTTCCAATGTTGTCTTCTCATATTTAATTAGATTAATTATCAGTGTTTTCATTAAGTGCTATGACAATCTAGCCAATGTGTTTGAATCATTTTTCTCACCCTTCACAGCTTTTCCCCTTTTAGAGTTGAAAACTGTTTTTACTTTGTTTATTTATACACATATGTGTTTTTAACTCAGCCAAAGTGTCTTTCCCAGTTATAAATAATTTCCCCTTAATTTATCAAACACATTAGATACTTGAACAATTTTTATTTTCTTCAAGAAATCTCTGTCATATTATTCTGACCTGCTCAATTATGTAAATTGCTTTAAGTCTACTGCACAGCTGTTGTCTTGAGATCTCCCTGTATCATTGCACTGGGAGATTCCATTCATGGCATTCTTGGTGTAGAAACCCTGTTTCATGGGACATATGTTTTTGTTTTTCTTGGTTTGCTCCTTTGTTTTCATGAAGCACATTTTCCAGCATATATATATATATATATATATATATATATATACACATATATATATATATATATATATATGTATATATAGCGGAAGTACAATTTTTGAGAACTTTTTTTAAAATAAATTAATTTGTCTCTCAAAATTAATATTAATAGTTTAGCCTAGTATAGAAATTGCTTTCCTTTGAAATTTCAGTGACATTTTTACTTTTTTTTCCTAGCTACCAATGTTGTTATTGAGATGTCTGATGCCATTTTTTGCGAACTGATTTTTCTCCTTAAAGCTTTTAGATAAACCTTCCCCAGTGTTCTAAAATTTCAAGATGTTCTGCCTAATTGTAAACCTATTTTAATCCATTTTGCTGTGCCCTTTCAATCTGGAAACTTGATCCTTCAGGAAAATTTTTCTTAAGTCGTTTTATTTACGTCCCCCATTTTCCTCTATTCTGTCTTTCTCGAATTTTCATTTGGATGTTGGAAATCTCAAAATTATTGTCTAATATGCTAATGTTTCCTCTATTAGTTGTTATTTATTCTGTCTCTACATTCTTGGAAACTTTCTTCATATTATCTTTATTACGTTGAGTTTATGTACATTTATTTGATTTTATTTCTCTTCCAAGATGTTCGTTTTTTCTATAATAGTTTTAATTTTCAATAACTTTTTTTCTCTAAATGTATGTTTTTTTGAAAGGTTCTTATTCTTATATCATGGAAGAAGAATCTTAACTCTTTTAAAGTATTAATGATAGTGTATTTTAAATGTTTCTTCTCCCTGCAGACTATCTGTTTCTAGTACCCTTTAATATATACAATTGTGAGTATATTTTCTAGTGGGTCAATTACATAATCACTGAGCCTCTGTGCAAATGTATGCAATAAATACAACCATGGTGTTCACTGCTAAGTGATATGCTTGGATTATTTAGCTTAAATTAATATCTCTAGGCTTCTTATTTATTTATTTAATAATTTATTTTTTATAGCTGAGCCATTCTGCCACCAGTTGGCAGCTCAGTGGCAGCTCAGCTTGGACTAGAAATCGAACCAGCGACCCTGTTGCCCAGAGCTTGCACTCTTCAGCAAGCTCTTAACCAACTGAGCCTTTTGGCTGACCCTCTTTAGGCTTCTTATTTAAGGTCAATAATACTACCCAGTTAAGACTTTTAATCACCTTCCTACAGAGGAGGTAC